GAGATCCATGGTTCATAAGTAAGAAACCGACCTTAACTTATAAGACGCGTATTGGGGTGTAATAGAGGAGTTCTTGTGAGATCTCCGAAGTTAATGCTCAGTGTGGAGTACAACAAGGATGTGTGACCTTATGGAAAGTCATCCTGAATTGCACCCCAAGTCAAAATTCGTGCGGGTGATCGGTAAAAGGTTCGGGATGTTACAGGTCTTCTTGCAAGCAATGAAACGAGACATCTTGGAGAAGCGATCAACGACGACAAATATGGAGTCCACACCCCGCTGAGTCCGAGGGAAAACCAACAAAATCCATCGATAAGTCCAACCAAATATCATCAGGGACAGGGAGGGGCATATATAGACCTGTGTTCTGTGATTATCCTTTCGCAGTTTGGCACACATAGCAGCGCCGGACAATGGCTCCTTCATCAAGCCGCAAATGAGGCCAGAAGAAACGACCCTCCAAGCTAGCGATCGTCTTATCGTGTCCCAAGTGACCGCTGAGACCACCCCCATGCAGGTCACGACTCACGAATAAGCATCTCGCACATGATAATCAACGCTAGGATGTTGATGAGTGCACTTGAACCAGAGCTTGGCAAAATCAGGATCGGTAGCATACAGTCTGCAAGGCGATCTCTTCTTGGATGGATCCCCTCAAGACATTAATGTAGCAGGCGACCTTCTGGGATTCAGTTACCGCCAGCTCGTTACGTTCTGCGAATCGGAGAACTCGGTAGTGTACTCGGTTACGCTTCGCCTCCCTTGAACACAATTGATGTACATCTTGTACAAAATCTGCTAGTAATCTTCCGGGAGAAATCGCTCGAGCATCAATTGTTTCATCCGCCACCAGGTGCGAATGGGTGCCTTCCTTTGTCGATGCCTTTGAACGACCAACTTATCCCACCATACTGCAGCTGTACTTTTTAAGTGAATGGCCACCATCTTGACTTGCTTACAGTAACGGAGGTAGGATTCGAAACTACCCCTATCCATTTTTTAAAATATAAATATTTAATAATTAAAATTAAAATTAATAATATTCAAATAATTCATTAATAGATAAAGAAATAACTGATTAATACAATTATTGTTTGCATAAACAACCACGATGGGGTTTCATCTTATGAAAGAATTACAAAAAACCATTAATTGTTTACAGTACTCTTAAGTGAGCCTCTTTCGATCTATCCCACTAAACAATCATTAACAAACTGATCATCAATTGGACTTCACAACTTGTTCTTAATATATCAATCTAAAAAATACTCTTTTAACGTTCGGAGTTGCAACTGGTAGTATCAAAACTAATTTCAGAAGCAAATAAACTGATCAATATAACCTATGCACTTTTGTCTCCACCATGATCTGAGATCATTTATCAATTCTTTTCAATCCAACAAATCTCTCATCAACCATAAAATAATTATAATACCCAACAATCTATTGTCGAATAATAGTGTCATGAATGAAACTGACAAATTAATTATTTTTTGGCAATCAATGAACAAGTAATGAATAATAGTGTAGTGCCAAAATATCCTTATATTACTTGGAGGTGTTGAGTTTATTCTCAGTTCAAACATATGTGGGGCTATATTTTACCCTCCCAAAATTTGCCCCTGTCCTGGGACAAGGGCAAACTGCCCTCCCTCCGCCTATGCTTGCTCGCCCTCAGGTGCCTCCATTACATCGAAGAATCTATCCACATCAATCTGCCAATCCAAAAAATCTTCGACTCCCATAGTTCCATAGAACAACGGAATGCCAGCCTTGACCCAATAGTTGTTGCGGTTCGCACGGTTGTCATCATCCTGTTCCCGGTCCTCGTCCTGGACCTCTTCGTCTGAACCAGAGTCGGAGTCTCTGCTTGAACAACACGCGCCCTCCTAGGACGCTCTTCCTGTCGACTCTCCTGCCTCTATCCCGCTTGTTTTGATTATTGTTTACTTGTGCCGGAAGATTTGTCACTTGCGTTGTCAAGGTCGTGATCACCGTGGTAAAAGCCGTGGTAATAGCCTCGATGTCCGCGCGTGTGACCGGTTGATCTTCCATTGCTGTGCCAACTTTGAAAAAAAAAACATGAGAAAACCTGCTCTGATACCACTTGACGCAGTCGAAAATCTCAAAGAAGAATTCACTAGCGATGAATTCTCACGGAGACAAGCTTGCCAGCTGCAAGCTTGACGAACAGCTCTGGAATCCTCCAGATTATGCGAAACCCTATAGGGTTCTTTTCTTTTCTCATAAGTAAAAAAAAAAAAAAAAAGTTGTCTTTGCGATACATGACAACAGCCTTAAATACTAATGGCCCAAGTTTACCCTATCTGAAAGTGTTTAGGAAAAGAAAAGAACGTAAAAATAATTATTCAATAAAATAAAGAAAAGCGAGCACAACGGGCCGTGTCGATTTTGAGCTCCAGCTGCGCCGCATCACAAAGCTGCTGAGTTACCTAGGTAAGACAGTCTGCTCTGTCTCCTAGTTGTGTATTAAACATCATGAAGATATCTTCGAAATACATCATGAAGAGAAAAAAAGAAAAAAGAAAGTGATCCTCAGACTCCTGGTTGTGTATTAAACATATTCTTCTGAACCAGCAAACCCCCCATTTCTTCATCTTTTCCTTTGTTTGGGTCTTATCTTTAACAAATAGACAGACCAAAAATAAGTTTTGTGGAATGGAAGAGCAAGGGCCCTTCTATATTAAACCAGGCCAAGGAACTTTGTAATGCTTTGGTCTAATAGACTCCCACACCATCTTAATCGGACACCTAATTGGCATTGTTAAGTTATTCGAGAAAAATCAAGCCATTTGTCAAGCTGAAATATTTAAGAATTATACCTCTCATTTTCATAAGCGTAGTCCAATTACAGAAGCCAGCAGAGTTAGTAGTTCAGAAATCTCCACTCTTCAGTTTGTACCTTGGGCATTGGGAACTTGGGATAATGTATTAATTTAACACCAATAGGAAAAAACAAATTGAAATGTATAATAATTTTTAATTAATTGGTGAGGGAACAGCAATCACAGGCTTGCCTTCCTCCCATAGGTGGGTCCCGGGACCCAGGTTTTCTTCTCTGCTGAGAGTTTGTGATTGCTGTCCCCGCTACTCTTTTTTTTTTTAGTGCTTCTTTGACTTTCCGTGTTCAAAGAACGTCGATCGATGGATTATAAATAGGGCAAAAATGTATAAAATTATAATTTTAAAAATAAATAAATAAATAATAGTTAAGTTAGCGAGAAATTTTACAATGCTATTTAGTATTGGTGCTATAGGTTTTTGCCTTTATGGTACAACTTAAAATTGTACATTTACGTTATGGTACAACTTTAGATTGTACCTATACTTTTTGTACAAATTCTTTTATGGTACAACTTGAACTTGTACCTTTATGTGATGGTACAACTTAACATAATGGTACAAATTGTTTTATGGTACAACCTAAACTTATACATTTAATGTTATGGTACAACTTTGAGTTGTACATTAAAGCACCAATGTTATATAGCATAGTAGAAGTGCTCTAAGTTAGCAACTTACTTCATTAAATACGGATATTAAATGTGTTATACGAGTTTTATAGGAGTTTAGTACGGGAGCCGTCAACTAAAGAAGGAAAAATAAAATAAATTGGCAATAATACGAATACGAAAGTTTTAAAAGGATAAAATAAGTATAGGTACATATACGTATATTAAACGAATTATTTACTAACTATGATTTGAAGAGATTATTTTCATATAATTAATTTTAGCAGGGGGATGAATTTTCTAGGAGCGTTTTTTTTTTGTGTGCAATTCATTAGGGATGGATGCTTGACATTTGTCCTACTCTATTAGACTTAATTCATTTGATAAAAATATAAAAACATAAAATAAAATATGACACATAAAGAGGAAGGCACCCTCTGTTCTGCTTCTCCGTCCCGTCCACCAAAAACCGTCAATTAATTTCCGTCCCGTCCGTCTCTAATTATACTTTAATAGGTAATTAACTACTTGAACCAATCACATAGCTCCACCTCAATGGGCAGCAGCGCAAGGCTGCAACCCAGACAGCAGCGAAATATTGTCCTTATAAATATAGTTGCAGCCTGCAGCTTGCTGGTGGGCAGTTTATCTTTCAGTCACTACTATTATTATCTCTTTAAAAGAACAAGTTACAACTTTACTGTTTGGTAGAGTCACATCCAAACACTGTGACTTGGTTTGCTTTTTTGCCTCTTGTTCTCCTTTCTGATTGGCCCTTCTTCTGAGTTCTGACATGCATAGGTGGCTCTCTTTTGTAATTAACCATTAACCAAGACTTTACTGAGGACTAAAAATGCAATTATGTTTTATTTCTTTATTCCTTTCCTCTCTCCTGCACTTATTCCCATCCATTCATTTTCACCACTCCCGTAACTCCTCCCCCCTCCATCAATCTTCATCCCTCCCTCTCTCTCTCTTTCATTAATCTTATGTTTAATGATTTCTTTTTATGTACCTAAATTCATGTGTACTCAATTTAATTCGATCCGGTTTCGGTGTTGCCGAATTTTTGGTCGACAACATATTTTACCAACTTTTGTAAATGACGAATTGGGTTGTCTGTCGCTTTTGTTAAAAACTATATTCAACCTGATTCGACCCAGTCCCGATGTTGCCAGATTTTTGTTGGGAACGAATTTTACCCGCTTTTGCTGAGTCGGGTGTACTCAATCTAATTCGATCCGGTTTCGGTGCTGCCGACTTTTTTATCGGCAACAGATTTTACCAACTTTTGTAAGTAACGAATTGAGTTGTGTGTCGCTTTTGTTAAAAGCTATATTCAATCTAATTCGACCCGGTCTCGGTGTTGCCGAATTTTGGGTCGGGAACGAATTTTACCCGCTTTTGTTGGGTCGGGTGTGGATCTCTTTAAAAGAACAAACTACATGTTACTGTTTGGTAGAGTCACATCACACAAGTGCCTATTTCGAAATTGAAAGAAACTTTGGGAACTTGTTTGGAAATTTTACAGATATTTTTTTGCTTTTCCCTCCCATCTCTCTTCCCAGCCACACAACTTTTCTTCTCTCTTTCTCTTCCTTCTACAGAAACCAACAACCCACTTGTTTCTTTCTCCCTCTCTCTGTACAAGAACAAAAAAAAAAAGGAAGAATATGAAGAAGAAGAAGACGCAGGAAGCAGAAGAACCAGGAGAAGAAGGAACCCCCACCCCACCCCACCTCACTTGTGCTCTTCCTTCTCTCTTCTCTCCGACGTCGTCTCTTTCGCGCTCTGCGATCTCAAATCTCCGAAATCGCCCATGAAGCGGCAAACTTGCCAATGAAGGAGAGTCATTCGACGCCTGGTTGGCTAGATCGTGAGTTTTCTTATGTTTTTAGTGTTCTTAACGCCGCCGATCTTATTTCTCCGAATCTGTTCGTTTATTTTTTCTGTTTTTCTTTGTTCTCTTACTTGGTTAGAACGTCCTTTTGGATCGAAGAAGAGAAGGGAAGGCGTGAACGACGATGAAGGTTGGCAATGGACGTCGGTGATGGTCCCAGCAACGAGTGACAATCATTTTTTTTTTTTTTTGCATATTGTCATTCTTGGATTTTTTGTTTGGTTTTAATTCTTACTTCTTGTCATCTTTTGTTCCTGGGTTTTTGATCAGGAAGAAGGAAGTGATTCGTCTACACTCATGCCAGAAGGAACATGTCATGCCGCCGGCGGTGGGACTGCTGTCAACCGCGACCAAGGCGGTAAGTTGTTTTTGTGGAATTATTTTCTTCTCTCTATTCCCATTGGAGTTTAGTCACGCCTTTTTTGGTTTTTCTGGCTAGGGTTTGTATGATCAGGAACAAATCAATCTGGGTTAAGTAAGTCTGGATTCCATCCGACTCCCGGCCATCCTGCCCCTTTCTGTACAGGCTCCTTCGATATGCAAAGATGGACGTTGCATCACAGCGCTCAAAAAACCCGTAACATTGCCCATTGGTTAGTGCCAACTGCAGATTCCCATGTTTTTTTTATTATCTCTAGAGCTATCTATCTGGTTTCATTTCTGTTTATGTCATTTAACTTTTTCTGCTGAGTTTAGCCCTTTTTTGTTGTTGTTCGGTTAGATAATTTATTTTTTTACTCTGGTGTTTGTTTCCGTCCAGCCATGTGATATGGGATGGGTTAGGAGGAACGCAAATAAGGAGTTGTTTGCTGTTGAATTGGATTTGCCCCATTGAATAAGCACATCTTCCCTGTTCATATATGCAAGCAAGGTAAGACTTAGGTCTTCTTTGTTTCATTGTTTCCATCTTTTTTAATGATATGGAATTGGTTGGTGGGTGTTGTGGTATCTCAGGAACATAAATCGTTTGTATGGCAGGTTGTGGATATGCAATGTTAAGGAACTTGCTTATGTCTTGGACGAAAAGGGTTGATTTCCTTCCATTCGAGACTGGTTGCTGGTTTCTTATACGAAATTGTGCTGCCCTGAATTCGAAGATTATGAGAACTGGGGCCAGTACATTGGAGTTTTCCTTACGTGATGGCTATTATGTGGTGTTACTTTCGGTTTCAGGTAACTTCTCGCTATCATCTGTTATAGATTCAGTAATTGATGCCGTTGAACTCCCTTAACCAATGCACATGCAATGGAAAGATTCACTGCCATCCCAGAGCAGCGTTTGTGAAAAGATATATTTCAGAAGTATGCTTGCTGCATTAGCTATGGGGATGATGGGTCAAACTAATTTTGTGATTTTATATAGTTCTACTCTTACTTTTCAGGTTTCTTATGTTCTGGTCCAGTTACAAAACTAAGCTACTTCAGAGTTTTGCCGGTTTCCTACTGTCATTCTGCGTAATGGCGAATTTCAGCGGCATCCCATTTTGGTAATCGATTGCTTTCCAGTTGAAGTGCCTTAGCTATTTACGCTTTCAAATTTAATCTTTTGAAGGAAACATGCTATTTTGCCTGACACAGTTCCATTTGATTTGCCCAGCTACGCTCTTGGACCATATAAAGTACTTGCTGCATGAGATTAAACTTTGGAAAGGGAGAGGTTAGGTTGAATATCTTTTGCCATTACCTCTATTTTTTACCCCTTCTTTTATAATTAAGAAAAAAAAATGTTAGTTTCCTGCTCCTCTTTACCATGAAGTTAGCTGAATGAGTTCTGAAATTTGGTTTGTTAGAATTCAGATTCAGATGCAATTTCCTCCCTACTCTTACTCTAATTGAAGTTAGTTGAATGCCTCAGAAACCAATACTTAGATATTTGACAGAATACGATGTTATTTTCCCTTCTAATCAATGAGTTGTTTTTATCTCAAGCTATATTCCTACCAGGTCAACGACAGCTTAATATGAGCACCAAGTAATTGTGCTCTCTGTTGCTTTCAAACACAGTTGATTTGAATGCCACTGATTTATATTAGGTGCTCAACTTAATCTTCTTTTAATATCTTAAATAATCTTTCCCGGTGGGTGGTTTTTTTTAATGTAAATTTAGTGTTTGATTACAACTTACACATTCTCAAATGTTTACCGACAAACAATTATGCATGTATTATGTACCATTTAAAACAACAGTGGAGTGGACGTTGCCTTCTCAAATCTTGCCAACCATGGCTGTGATCATTGTACAATGTGGTTCCACTTAGAATGCAGCCATAGTCTACCTCAGACATCACTAGCCAATTTAAATTTTTTTGTTTTGTACTTTTGTTGTATGGCCTTATGAAACTCAGATTGTTCTCTGTTTCAAGGAACAATGGATTTATTATAACCTAAAAGGAAATACAGCGGGAGCAGCAACTACTATGACAGATGGAAAGTCCCTCCTTTGATCCAAGCCCTCATTTGCCGGGAAGTCCAATTTACTATCCACCAACCAATGACTTTTGACATATCTATGGTATTCTCCTGTCTCTCTTCTTTCAAATTTCAGTCATGCTTTTCCTCTATGAGTATAGCACTTGATTACGAATTCAGTTAACTTCTTTTGTGATTTCGTAACTCTAAAGGTGGTTGTTGAATAACCATTACTTTATTTTTTTAGTTGTTCTTACTGAACTTGGGAACATCATTAACCATACAATACTGACCAGGATACTGTATCGAACCTGCCTTGATTATTTTGCGTCGGTCGTATGTTTGTTAGTACTGAATGACATGGATATGAAGCAAGTATTTCAATCACGGAGGTCGTAGTTAGTTGTAGAGCTGAAACGCCGAGAAGGTTGGGGTTTAGTTTTTGTGGTTGTGATATATGGGTCCAAATATATCCGATTTAGATGTATTTGGTGGGTTTGAACAACAGAAACTGAATCGTAATGGGAGCGGTGCATACTTCATTACTAAAGTCATTATTTTAACGGATCATATGAAAGGAGTTCTACAGGTTCTCGCTTCTTCTGAATGCACTCAATAGTTAGCTAACCCACTATGTTAAATGTATGAAGCCTCTTCTTTAGATTTATGTTTCAATTAGCGGGCAGATGCATGCTACTTTGTTGACAAAATCCTATTTTTTTTACTTACAATTTTACAAACAGAAGCTTGGTCAACAGTGCTTGATGGACAATAACACATGTGGTGCTGCGAAGAACCCAAACCAATGTAAAACAACTATCTTGGAGATTGACCTCAAATATCCCCTGGTTCTAACTTTAGTTGGGGTTGCACTGTGGCTTTGGTAATCAATTCGGAAGTCTAATTGATATTTCTCTCTTTTGCTAAACTGCTGGTCCAGCTGGCTGCAGAGTTATAGGTTTTATTCTGTTGGCTCGAGGGGCAATGATAGTGACGAACTGTGACCGACTCTTTGGGAAGTTCAGGGATAACTCTACTCTCTCTTTAGAACTTTAACGAAGAAGAAGAACGCAGCGGCGCCTTAAGTCACCGCAGGTGAGAAGCCCCTTACTTCTTTAGTCTCTGTTTGTTTGATTACTTTCAGTGAGGAAACCACAAAATACAAATTAATGCTTGGGAGTCTTGGAGCTTGTTTGCTTTGTTTGTTTCCAATTGATTGGATTATATATACAGATTAATATTACAGCTTTATGTGAGATTCCAAATCAAGCAATATGCATCAATGTAGTTTAGATTGCTTTTAGTTTGTTCTTCTTTGCAATTCTGAAGCCCTCATATTTTTAGCTTCCTATAAGTTTGTTTCCTAATTGGAACTATATATTTTTTTAAAAATTTGCCTTCATGTTCACACCATAGCTCGGTGTCATAAAGAACAGCTGAACACCATTTTCTGGCTTATGGTGTGGTGTCAATTATGACTACTGCTGAAACATCTCTTTTATGAGCAGCCTCAGTGAAATTGATCGTCACGCTTTGGGAAGCAAGCCAAGGATGAATTGTTGACGGGACTGATTACCCGATTCTTTGTATGCCTCTTTCTATCTGATCTGAGGTTTTGGGGTCCGTTATATACATGGCTCTTATTTTGAGTTTGTAGTTTCCACCGATATCAGCTTATCACTCCTTCAATGAAGTTTTAAGGATGGTAGTATGGGTCATTTAAATATTGTAATCAAGGTCGATTTATATACATGAATTGACTGCTGACTGTATGTCCTAGATTTGTCAACCTCTTCTTCGAGTTGCTTTGGTACATTAATGAAACCCAAGTTTTGCATAAATTTCGGGTCATTTCCCAAACATGTAGGGTAGAAACCTTCTTAGTCAACAGGGCCTGGCAAAACTAGGTTCATGTATGTACTTTTCATAAAGTACCTTGGTTTAAAAGTTTTTGGCATTTTCTATTAGTTACCCTCTTAATAGTGATGAAGTGGCGCCTTATCAGATATACGAGTTGCCCTCCTGCTGCATGCTCAATTATCTTAGCCATTTTTTTGAGCTAAAATACATTTGTTGTGCCTTTCCGGTCGTAGATGGGTCAGATTGTTTTACTATAAGGCCTTGCTCACTTGGTGGCGCTAACGACGGAGAATATCTCTATAACGGCATGAGAAGGTTCAGGTTTTAACATTCCACTTCCTCGGCGAGACTCTTATTCAATGTCACTTACTGGTATGATCCCACCTATGCATTTATGTTCTCTCTCCTTTGTCTTTTGTTCACAGTTGATTTGATCGTTGTTCGAGTATGCTCAGAACTTTTCCTTCTTTCCATGAATCTGGGTGTTTTTTAGCCATACCTTCTCCTCTCTTTATGTTTCCCATATTTTGCCTTTCTTTTGTGATTCGTTTAGTCTTTCTTGGGGTTTCCTTTGACGGGTATTGCCCCCTTCCACGAATCTAGGTTTTGTATATAATAACCTGTTTATGTTCTCGATCATCTTAATTATTCCTTCCTCTTAAATGGTAAGTTAGGTTAGCTTCACCGTCTCCTGTTATTGATATGAATTCAATTTTGTGATGCTATCTAGAAAATAAGGAATTTTTAGTTGCTGCCCTGTGCACTAATTTATATTTAGGTGTATTTTATCAGTGATTTCTGAATGGAGACTGATGTAAAAGGCGGGAGGCAGTGATAAGGACGAGCCGCAACCAGTTCATACTGAGAGGAGACATATGAACTGCTCATGTCATATTTCAGGTTAGAAAGTAGTTTCAGTTTATGTATTATTTAATTTTACAAATTGTTTCCTTCGGTAGTTTCAGCGCCATTATAGCCATTGTTTAGCCTGTAATTTTGAACATTGACGTTGTGAGTGCTGCCTTTTAGTTAACTTCGATTGTTAAAGAAATAAATTCCTTTGCTTTTCATTTAATTTCATACTCTAATTGTATCATTTGTACATAGGCGAACCATGCTAGAGTTTCTGAGGAAATACATGCAATGGAAGATCCTGAATTTGAGACTTTCTACACCAAAAATATTCTCGCTTATGAGGTCGGTGCAAGGAACGAAGTCACTGGTGGAATTCAGACTGCCAACGAGGAGGGATGCTCACGACCAATTCAATGGCGATGGTTGGCTGGAAGGAAGAAGAATCCATCCGAGAAGGAGGAAGGAGGTAGGGAGAAGAACTTACTGGGGCGAATATGAAAGTGTGTCAAGCGTTGTTATTATTTTATTTTATGTTTTAGGGATTTTAAGAATTCTGATATGTTTATTGCTTTTGGTGGAATAAAGGGAGAAGGGTCCCCGTTGGCAATCTTGGCAGGAAGAAGAATCCACCCGAGAAGGAGGAAGGAGGTGGGTAAAAGAAGGTACACGGTAAATCTGAAAGTCTGGTAAGTGTTTTTTTTTTGTTTATTTGACTCTATGTTTGGGGAGTTTAAGGGTTCTTATATGTTTATTGATTTTGGTGGAAGAAAGGATCTGCCACAACAATCCCAGATTCGTTTGGGCGAGAGAAATCGGAGGATACACAGAACCGCAAGGTGGGTTTCTTATGTTTTTTTTCTAGACAGATTCGTTCTCCATCACTCTCAACCTATGCATTATTAGAAGATACCGGCACCGAGTTCATAAGCCCCGGAGATGGTCATCAATTCCAGCGAAAAGCTACCAATCTGAAGATCTGTGGTTTGGGTTATAAATCCATGTTGAAGAGGATCCATTGTGGAGAACGAGATTGGCGACGGAAGGAAACCAGATTTGCTTGTCCTGACATTTGAAGGTGATAAGTCGATATTGATGGTCTTGGTTCATCTCTCACATTTGTTATGATTAGATGCATATTCTTAACTATGTTCTCTGGTTTCTGTTGCCCAAACGGTTCCGCACGAAGAAGTCTCGGTTGTGAGGACCCCTCTCCGACGAAGCAAAATCCGAAGATGGTGTGTGGGCGATTCTCAAGCCAGAGCATGCTGATTCTCTTGCCTTTTGAGTTGATGGGATTTTCTGAGAGCTGAGTTGATCGTGGAATCTCAGCGAAATGCTGCTGGACCATTAGATGAATGCTTTGAGAAACCTTCCTCCCGTCGTCGTGAACTCAGGTCTCTCTCTCCCCCACCCTCCTTCTCCTTCCCCTGCCATTTTTTCCCTTTTTTCCTGCGGTTACTGAATGGCAATTCCTTGGCTTTTTCCTCCCATCCCCCAATCATATATGAGTTGGGTTTCAGGTTTTGATTGATTGTCGGGTTTGAGAGATTGACGGTCGGGTTGGGGAAGAAGCAGGTTCGATTTTTGGATTTTCATTTTTAGGTTATTGTTTTTCCGATTTTCCTTGAATGTGATCATGCCCTCTTTTCCTGTTCCAGAAGAGCACGTCTGGTCTTGGAGATTTTATAATCGAATTCGATGATGGGGATTTGGGAAGGTAAGACACTGTCCGCAACATCGTCGTAATCCTATCCTCTTGAGACAGTGGCTAGGCATAGGCGAAGGTAATTTTATATGTCTTTTCCTTATCTTTTTTTCCCCTTCTCCCCCTGGTAATCTGTCCTGTTTTATCTTTCTGATTCATCGCTTTTGTTTGCTATTTCGGATAGCGATTCGGTGTTTTAGAGTTGACAATCGATCTGAACATTAGAGTCGTCAGAGCGGGCAAGCGAACCAGAAACATCATTTGAAGTTTTTCCCTCCGTTTCACTTTGATCTAATTAGTTTTGTTGTTGTCAAAGATTCATTCGGTAGAGGAACTTCTATTTTAGGACTCTCTTTCTCAATCTTCCAGATTTACTGTGAGAAGTTTTGTTATTTTGGGTTCTATATCTGCATTGACGTCCATGATCGACCCATTTAAGCTTTCTTTTTCCCTTTCGTTTGATTTCCGAGTGTGGAGAACTCGGTAGAGGTCCTTCACATATGGCAGGTTGATTAATAATAGTGTGGAAACATAATTAGGGGACTTCCCCTATTCTAACTGTCCTTTGAGTCTAACTCCATAAAAAAATGTATGTCAGTTCCCTTACGTGTGACCTCTTCATGGGATTTCAAGGTCTGTGTTCTTTTTCTTATTGAGTATTGAGATCAAAATGGTAGTTTTGGTTATCTATTAAATGTATGTGGTGCATAGATGTGCAGGTAATGCTTGCCTTGTGGATTAACCAAAAACTGGAGTACCTGTACTATAACTTCTGGAGAGGACAGTTGATTGGGAGCAGCAACTCAAGAAAGCATATATGTGCTTTTGAAGTAGGTCCAGGTTAGCCACTGTTCTCTGTGAATTTTGCAGTTTTTGCTATGACAGAAGTAATCTTTATTTTGCTCTACCTTAGATCCTACTATTTTCATGAATCTGAGTATTTTTACGGTTTATGAATGTTGATGTGCAATAATATGTTGCTTGCTTTCTAAGTGTTCTTGAGAAGGTAGGACTGGACAAAATTGAACCATCACACATAATGTCGTGATCTCCATTTTTTGTGCAGTTGCCTTTACATTGCAGATTTGTCCCCTTTGTTGGTAATTATGTCCCTTTAGGGGTTGTTCCCCCCTTATATGACTACACTAACTAGACTACTCTACTTGACAGCAGTATCACTTATTCTTCTTCATTTAACATCACATTCCTCATATCTCAATGAAGTGGAGACTATTGGAGCTACCTACTGAATGTAAGTACTGATACAAGTGTTGCCAGTAATGCAGTATCTACATGTTAAATTAGCATTCGGTTTTGGTTGTGTTGCCCTTTTCTGTGTGTGGTTTATTTTTGCCACTAAGACCAATACTGAAAAAAGTGATTGGCAAAAGGCATTTCAAGATATGACAAGGAATGAACATGGTGTATCAGCAATCAGCATCCTGCCATTTTGTTGTGTGTTGAATTTGTAACCTTAGAGAGATGGTGATAAAAATCAGCTTATCAGGATGCCATGGCTAGACTTGGCACTATTCTCATTAACTCTAAGTTTACACGTTCATAATAATTGCTATTTCCCATTAAAAATCTTTTATATGTTCTTTTTTTTGTTTTATTTGCTCGCCCCATACAGTGCACTGCCATTTTCATTCTGTTTGAGGTTCGGTGAGGTTGATTATGCTTTCTTAAACTGCTTAGTGAACACTGATGAACTCCAGGTTTACATCTATTCGTGGCTCTTTATATCTAAAACTCTTTGCTTGCTTACAATGTCAGGTCAGAGCTTTATTACAAATCAGATTGCTTGCTTTTATGCCTGGGTTTGCAGGTATGCATTTGAGGACTTATAGGCTGAACTGTAAGCATTTTATTCTGCAACATTTAAATTGGTGAGATTTCTAGGCTGAAATGGACTCAATTTCTTAGCATTCTGTAATTGAATAGAAATAGAAGTTTTATTGGTATTATGGAATCACAGAGGAGGATAAAAATAAAGTTCATTAAACTAAAGCAGCCGTCTTTCATGTCAATTTCTCCTCAATCCACAGTTTCTTTCAATCGATGAACATATGTTGCCATGGGATGAAGAAACCGAACTTCCTGTGTCGTGTAGTTCATAAATTCTTCTTTAACCTTTAATCAATTTCTTTTTGATTAATAAGATGTTGCCTTATATATAAACACAGGTTCATGATAGTTACTCCTACTGATTCTGTAAGTTGAATTGCTATAGTGTTTCAATAGGCTGTTTTTGCGCCCAGCTGTTGGCTCCATGGTGTAAGGAATATGAATTGTGTGTTTGTATTGACGTGACCGAGCTGTTGTCGGACATGTTGGACAGCAGGCGACTCGACGCTGATCGTGGGCGCCGAAATTCTAGATTGCAACGAAGAGCTAGGGTTTCGGGATTAAAGCTGTAAGAATGTGAATCGTGTGTTTGTATTGACACTGAGAAGGGGCATTTATACCCACAATTGTACAGGTTCATGTAGGACAAGGAAACTTACGTCAATATGAATAAAGATTTATCCCTAATACATGGAACTTACCCTCTACTATCCATTTATGTCTATGGATGCCATACATATGATTTTTGATAGGTTCATTTGACTGATTTTTTGGGATGGATTTCTGACTAAATTCTGTAATTGCTTTCTAGGTAGTTTAATTATCACCAGCTGAAGTTCAATCTATGCCTGATCCCCGCTCATCCATTTTCACTTTCTTTTTAGAATTCTTGGTTTCTATATATTGCTGTATCCAGTGTTGTTTGAGCCGTGTAAAAGGTGATTGTCAAGGGAGTTGTTGACGATAGCTATCTTAATTGAATATCAATATATTATGTCAATTAGGATGTTTTTCGCATCATTCTAACTCATAAATCCCGAGATACTGTCCACTAGCCGAAATTGTAGTCGGCCAAATAATAAGGTATTTACTTCAGGTGCTGCAATTCAGTCCAAACAATGGGTTACGATTTGGTTGGGTAAGATCCTCTAAATGTTATTTCCAGTGCACTATGTATGCGTAGTATTAATTCAAATGTTTAAATTATAAGTAATTATACATTTAGTGTTATTAGGTTATAATTAATATGTTTTACAGTGTGTGTTACAACACACACCTCCCGACGCTAGGAGGTATATAGATAAGAGAGGCCAAGCTATGGTTAACTTGGGTAGCGATCCAAAGGTTCATTTTACCTCTCTTTTGTGTGTTGTCGGTTATTTAGCAGAAGCTAACTAGCTAACTAATATGATCCCGTACCTATTGCGCCCGTCGCGTAGCGCGTGCTTTTCCTTACTAGAGTCACATAAACAGCGTTAGTACGTCATGTGTTCACGTCTAATGCTTATTGCGGTGTAGTGGTTATAATTTGACTTAGAAGAACAAATACTTCTGCGATTTCAGGTACATTTATGTCTTCCGTTTCCGTTAGCTCTTGAACAATGCACTAGAGAATGCTTATTAATATTGCACTCAACTTATTTATTCCCGTATGCAGTGCATTTCTGCACCGACTGCATATTTTCCCTAACATTGTCGAATGGAACATCCTGATCATCCCGCCGCGAAGCGCGGGCTTCCTTACTAGTATATATATAATTAAAGCTATAGCACTAGCTAGCTGTCCTGCCCCTCCAATCTTCATGACATGCGGCAGCAAAACCACCACAAATATCACGAGTCCCTTACCGGCGGCGGCGGCAGGCACCATTTTCGCAAGCGGCGGCGGCACAACGTGTTCATAAGCTTTAGGGGTTCCGACGTGCGGAACACATTCGCAGGTCATCTGCGCGCCGCGCTCCGCAGAGAAGGCCTCAGGTCGTTCTCCGACCGCCGCGACCTGCCACGCGGCGAGGATCTGAAGGAGGCGATTCCACGCGCGATCCAGCGGTCGAGGGTCTCGGTGGTGGTTCTGTCCCGGAACTACGCCTCGTCGGAATGGTGCTTGGACGAGCTCGTCACCATTATGAGCTGTTGCAGCCGCGCCGGCCACGTGGCTATCCCGATCTTCTACCATCTGTCTCCGAACGATGTCGTCTCCGGCTGCTACAAGGAGGACCTGGATCGGCACAAGCGTGATTTTACTTACGAGAGAGTCGACGGCTGGATTCGGGCGCTGGCTTGGGTCGCCGGTATCGCCGGTTGGGTCGTTCCAGCAGCTGGCCGGTACGTGAATTAATTAAGCATTTTGATTTAATTTAATGAATTTGGTAGTGCATGCATGCCGCAATTAAGTTCATGTTTACGCTCCAAATCTGACTACGTGGCTTTTTCTTTCTTCCTGGAATCGTTTGTAATTTGTCCGAGTTATTTGGTATCAAAAGTTAACTAACTATTTGCCGACGGTAACATAACCTAATTGCTAAAAGGCCTGGGTTTTGGGTTTGGGATGTGAAAGGTCACATGTTCGAATCCCAGTACCATCTTTTTTGTATTCGTGGAGGCACCCTTGGTATAGCACAACGTCGGGCACTCTGCTGGGACACAAGTCCTTTATGGTTAGTATGCAGGTACCACAAGTTTAGTAGGCCTCGATGTCACTCATGTGGGATGCTGCGGTTTTTGGATTATCAAATAAAAAAAAAATAATTAACTAACTATTTGGTACACAATTTTCCAACTATGTCATTGCCTATTATTTCGAAATTCTCGAGGTACACAAATGATCATAATTTATAATTTAATCCTAAAATTATTATAAAATATCCTACAACTTAATTACTAATGCCCATACATATATAGCAAAGGCTAGCATACGTTAGGGCGTCCGTTTATGCCTATATTGAGAGATTGATATAGTGCCGCAAATTAATTTCTCCGAACTGATCAGTATCTTGATAATTTATAGATTCACATGGATCTTACTAAAAGTTTTATTGATTTTGTACAGGTCTGAAGCGCGACTTGTGAAGAGAATTGCTAAAACCATCAGACAGAAGGAGCGAAAGCCCTGCTCCGGTACCGAGAGAGTTCCGCCGGCGGGCGTCATAAGGAAGAACACGAATCCGAGTATTGTAAAAACTAAAAAGCACGAGGAGCAAAGATATTAATTGTAGTTATTGGAGAAATACTTTGAGATCCATCCATATAATAAAAAGTCAAACGTTGTTTCCTCTTTTGTATTATTCGAGCATTCTCATAATCCTAATTGTACCACCATTAGAAGAAAAACTAAATGTAGCTAAAAATTAGTTTATATGGTTAATTGAGTTGGGAATTCGGCCACGATTTTCCCGTTAAATAAAAAAATTGGACAGTTTTAACTAGTCTGGAATCTCGGTCACGGTTTTTACTTTGTTACAAAAGGATACAAGCTCTATAATCTATCTTCAGACTTGTTATACATAAGATAGACCCATATGTTACGAGAAAAGTCATTTACAATGGTTAAAAAAATACTTGTAACCTTCAAAAGAAGGGACACTATATGGACCACATATATCAGTATATACCAAGTCAAAGAATGCATAAGCTCATGACTCACTTACATGAAGGGGAGATGTTCTGTTTTGCAAATCCTCATCTGTATCTGTATTTAATTATTTATTCTTTCTGTTCCTATTTTTTATTCGTGCTCCACCTCAACCCACTCCTCTTCTTCGACGACTTCTGTTGCTACAAATATTTCACTCTAATTAATTGTTTATAAAGAATCTTGTATTGTATCTTTTCGGGATGGGATTAGGTGTTAACCCACTACTAAAAATAACGAAATCACTACGACATCTAAGCTAAATCACTACTAATTCAAACTAGTAGTAGTTTTTTCCTTGGTTAGAACGGTGCTAACTATTGTACAATTAGCACCGTAGCCGTTCCCTATCTTTCCCCGTTCCCACCACCGCACAATTAGTTAATAGTTGACTTAAGTATCTTAGGTCTGTTCAGACATAATATAATACCAGAAAACTTCATGGAACTTTCACAGAACTACAATATATCTCCCTAATCGTAATACTATAAGCTTCCGGCTGTGCTTATTTTCTGGTCTCTGTTGTCTTCTAGGCGTGTTTTCAATTTCACTTCTTGTGCCGCCTTGACTTTGTACAGTCCCTTTCTCTTTTTTAACATATTGGCTATTGCATCACCATTATAAAAAAATCGTAATAACCCTGTCTCTATCACTAGATCCTAAACTGCTACGTAGGTTCTATATGTTAAAGAGTTCCCTGACGGCCTTCACAATATGCTGCACCAGTTCCCTACCAGCAACGTTAGCCATGGCCGCCGGCGCCACGACGTGTTCATAAGCTTCAGGGGCTCCGACGTCCGGCACACGTTCGTGTCTCGCCTCCGCGCCGCCCTCCGCAGAGAAGGCGTCACGTCCTTCGCCGATCACGACATGCCACGTGGCCAGGATTTGACGGAAGCGATCCCACGTGCGATCGAGCGGTCGAGGGTCTCGGTGGTCGTTCTGTCCCGGAACTACGCCTCGTCGGTATGGTGCTTGGACGAGCTCGTCACCATCATGAGGTATTGTAATACTACTGACGTGGACAGCCGCCCTTGCCACGTGGCTATCCCGATCTTTTACCATCTGTCACCGGAGGATGTCTCCGGCTGCTACGAGGAGGACATGGATGGTCACAAGCGCAGGTTTACTTACGAGAGAGTCGACGGCTGGCTTCGGGCGCTTGCTTGGATCGCTCGTATCGCCGGCTGGGTCGTTCCGGCAGCTGCAAAGCCAGTACGTGAAGCTGCATGCATGTTGGTTTGATCTAATGAATTTACTACTGCATGCATGTCCCTGACTATGTGGCTTATATATAGTTATGTGCATGTTCAATTTGATCGAGCTAAACTTTTGTTGATATGGGGCGCCGGAAGGTGCGGGAGCTTCCTCCGGTGGAGAGGGTTTCGTCGGCAGTGGGTGGCCGAATGTGTTAGTGAATGGTATATGATCAATGATTGAACCTCTCCCAACAACAACTCGAGTTATTGGAATCAACTGGTTCTTGGCATGGTATCAGGGCCTTATGTGATCGAGAGGTCTTGTGTTCGAATCCCGGGGTCTGATTGGCTTTCGTTTGAGGGGGTTTGTTAGTGAATGGTATATGATCCACGATTGAACCTCTCCTAACAACTTGAGTTATTGGGATCAACCGGTTCTTGACAGAATGAACAATACGATGGATTTTCGTATGGTAACAGTCTAGGGAAACACCGATGTAGTATGGCCATGGGGCACAACTTATGGTGCTTTTGGTTGTGTCGAAGATATTAATATCCATGTGTCTCTTTCAAGACAGTATCGTGTTACCAAATCAATATTACTAACAAAATTGCTAATTGAGAGTTGTAGTAGTTCGATAGGTTTGACTAATAAAAAAGAATGCGTGGGAGGTTTTACTAACAATTAATATTTACCCAAAAATAAATGTGTTGATGGTATTGCTCCAAATTCAAATGATTTTTCAATTTCATTTGGTAATGGATGATTCAAAGTAATTTTACTTGAATGAAGTCGAATCCATGAAATGATATATTGGACCGGTTGGAACATGGACATCAAAATGGGCCAAGGCTCAAGGTTTCTAGGCCCAATAGAGCTTTTTGTCTCCCTAGTCCATATCGGAGTTGGAAGACAGATCCTTTCAGTTCCACTTTCATCGATAAAAGCTAGAGAAAAGACTAGTAGGCGGCTTCGCCGGTCCACCTCTCCGTTTTCATCTGATTCATCTCCGTCCCTCTCTCTCTCTCTGTTGGGTTGCCGAGAAAGTAAAGGGAAAGCAAGAATGGGGATCCGGTTCATACTGATGGTGAACAAGCAAGGCCAGACTCGTCTTGCCCAGTACTACGAATGGCTCACCCTCGAAGAACGCCGTGCCATCGAAGGCGAAATCGTCCGCAAATGCCTCGCCCGCAACGAGCAGCAGGTTTCTCCTTCCCCATCTTCACGATTTTCCCTCATAACCCTGATCTTAGGTCCCTCCGATTCCTGAATTCATCTAATTCGCCATAGTGGTTGTTCTTTCTATCATCAAGGCTAAACCTTTTTCCGATGATCTAGCTAAATCAAATCAACCCCAGTTCTGTTTTGTTTTCACCTTGATGGAGGAGAACTGGACTTTCCTAAATTTGGAAGCTGAATTGCACATGATCTGACAGAGTTTCATTGTTGATGGCAGTGCTCGTTCGTTGAGCATCGCAATTACAAGATCGTGTACAGGAGATACGCATCCCTGTTTTTCCTGGTTGGTGTTGACAATGACGAGGTAGGGTTCCTCTCTTTCTCGCCTTTGTTTGCTTCCTTGCATCTTTGAGGAATGAAAGGGGGATAAATGGATTTGAACATCACCTGTGTCTTTCTGCTTCGAATCGCTATGGAGATTCTATTGTTTGAGCATCGTGCCAGTTAGCTGAACTTTTAGTTTTGCTTTCTTGCTTGCAGAATGAGCTTGCGATTCTGGAGTTCATACATCTGTTAGTAGAAACCATGGACCGTCATTTCGGCAATGTGGTAAGTCTTTCTTTGACGATTGAGAACCTAATTTGCTTGTGAAGTTGCATGAGGCAGAGGCTTACTTCTTTTTCGAAATGTGTGGTTGTTTGCAATCAGTGTGAGCTAGACATAATGTTCCATCTAGAGAAAGCGCATTTCATGCTGGAGGAAATGGTCATGAATGGTTGCATTGTCGAGACGAGCAAATCCAACATCCTCAGCCCTATCCAGTTGATGGAAAAAACCTCCTAGGCAGGAACAGATTCTTAAATTTACATTCATTGTCGTCATATCTCACACTCCGGATCTCTCACTCGTTTTTCGTATTTATGTTGATTGAGAGCCCTAAGAACTTCATGTCACCAATCAAAGCTTCTCTGCTTACAGTAAAGAATGTTCACGCAAGATGAAACAGTGTAAAATTGTAACCTGTCTGCGTTGACTAGATAACAACGATGTGTTTCCTTTGTAACTCAAATGTCCTGTTCTGCAGTTTGGCATCGTCATGTTCTTGATTCTGCATACTGTAATTTGTTCACCTTTCGCTAAATGTGTATTGCCCTTTCAAGGATGAAACCAACTGTTTACCTGTTAAGGATTCGTAAGATTATCAAATGTTATCTTTAGCTTGCAGCTATCAATTTTTTTTTTTTTTTTGACAAAGGGATACTTGCATTGCACTTTGAATGATCGATTACAAGAGAACCAACAAAGCAAACCAAAAAATAGAACATGGACAGAGAAACATAAGCACATAGATGCTCAATCAACGCAGCAGAGATACAACAAGAAGAGCACAAAACCTAGAAAGAGCCATCCAACAAAGCATCTGAAGAAAACACTTGAACCAAAATCAGTATACACCGAAAGCACTCTTGCAATCAAAACAAACGAAGTAGCACCAAGCGCAAACAGCTCGTCCGATCCGACTGAGTCCATGACGATTGAACACAATGTCATTAGCCGCCTCCTGGGAGTCGCTCGAAGACGCTCAACACAGTGAATCACGGGTGAGAGATTACATGGCGGTGGACAGAGATGAGGATAGAAATGCTCCGAGCTGAAGAGGCAGGGGATGACGAGGCTCCAAGACTTGGTCAAGGGAAGCAGAAGAACCCAGATCCTCCGATCAAAGAACTGAACCCACGATCAGCAAGGCTAGACTCTGCAATCCATCCTCCGTCGGCCACCTAGATGCAGAACAACCACCTGGGAAGAACAAAGGGGAAAACCAGAGAATCGATTCACCACATAAGCTGTTAAACCAACCATCATGAGAGAAGACCCAAGATGCATAACCCAGCCCCAAAGTAGAGCAAATCCCAGCAAAAAACCCTAGAACAGGGAAGCGAAATGCCAAGAATGGCTTGAAATGTTTGAAAGCTGAAAAAATAGAGTGATAACATCAAAAACAAAGACAGGGAAGTAAAAAGAGGTAGCAGGAAGAAAGAAAAGAGATGGGCTACCGTCGGTCACCAAGAGATGCCGGCGGCAGCCCTGGGGAGTTTCAGAGCGAGGGGAAAGGTAGAGAAAGATGAGAGCAAATTTTAAAATAAAGTTAGAGAGAGACTACTAATTTCGCAATTTAACGTTGCAGCTATCAATTCAAGGCCTTGGAATGACATATTTTCTTCACAGATTACTTGCAGATGAAATAGAGATTGACCTTTGTTCTTTTGCCATCTTTGAATATATATACATGAAGGGCATTATTGTTGGCCAATAGTCCTAAAGAACTAGGGAACAGTTTCAAATTGATCAAACAGCTGCTGGCCTGCCATCCTTTCGTAGGTCACTTACTGCAGTTAGCATTCCATGGATTACCGTATTGTTGCCAGTGTCTGTCTTTCGGTTGATCGCGTTTTGCAGAGATTGAACAACAAGCTGGACTATGGCTCCACCAGCATTGGCATTCAATTGATGACCCCTTTCTCTCAGGAAATCCTTCCTTTCCTCGGCAAGCTCTATGTGATCCCCGCATAGCAATGTCCAGTTCTCGTACTTAACGACATTTGGTATCAACTGCAAACAAAGACAGCCGATGATAATCGACATTTCGGTTTAACCCTCTCTTTTCAGACGTTGCAAAGTAGCGATTAGATGAAGCAAGAATGCAAAATACGAACATCGTGGTAGACCCTTGGACTCAGGACGGCGTGTAATGGCTTCATCCCTAGCACAAAATGGTTGAGGAAGACTTGTACTATTGCTGGAATAATGTACAGTCCACCGCTCCCGCCGAGCACTCCAGCCAGCTGATTGCCCTGTGGTTAAACGCGAAGAAACAAGATTAAGGGGACACCTCTGATCCAGGCGGATTTTAGTCCATAAATTTGGCACCTTTTCTCAATCAAACATAGATTTACCTTGGTGTAATGGGCGTCATGGAAGATAGTGGCCGCTTATTTGGTTCGATGAAGTTTGCAGGGGAGGGAGGGAGCTGATCATCGGATATCTCAGTCGGCGCTGAGAAATCACCCATCTCATTGTTGATCACGATCCCAGTCGAAGGAGACAGCAACCCAGCTCCAAATCCATAGTTCACAGTCGTCGTCATCGACACAGCATTTCTCTCCCCATCAACAATGCATAAATGGCTGGTACCATAACAAAATTCCAAAATTCTGTTCGTGTCCATAGAATTCCAAAATGGCATATTGAAGCCATATATACATACATCAAACGAAATCTCAAACCTCAAATCTCTTACCTTACCAGTACCACCCAACGAGCAGAAGTGGGTAACTTCCTTTCCCCGACTTGAGCTGTGACAGCTCGTTCAAGTTTTCAACTCGTCGACAGGAGGCGGAGCCGCGAAGGAGCAGGTGGGAATGTCGGGAATGTCGATTGTCAGGCGTCGAAGGGTGGCGGAGCAGAGGAGCAGGGAGAGGGGGGCGGGGGCGGGCGGCGGGAAAGGAGTCTGAGGCGCAGAGCAGAGAAAGTGCAGTGGGAGGATGACGGGACGAAAATCGGGTCTGACGGGTATCCATGAAATGTTTGGGAAATTTAGGCCTAGTATGTGTATCCGGGTATCCACGGGTAGGGGTGGGTATCGGTGCGGTTTGGACCGCATCGCACCGCATTCATATAAACCGCACCGCACCGCATCTTAATTGTATTGTGCCGCATGTTCGACCGCTAAGTTATCGGTGCGGTCAAACCAAACCGCATAAATTAGTGGTTTGGTACGGTTTAGACTGCACCGCATTTTGACCGCAATTCAATATGATTTGTAATTTATTAAACAACATGACTCTGTATCCATCACTGTTTGCAGAAGCAGTATGTATTGCTTTTTGTATCCTTTTTCGTGTATATATAGCAGGGGAAGGTTTGCTTCTGTTACTTCCTTTATTCTTCTTTTCTCTTCTTCTGCTGCTGTTTTGCTGTGGCTTCTGCGTTGATTGAATTGCTTTTGGGTGAAATACTATTGTGGTCACTGAACTTCTTGTTAGTCAACCGAATGATCACTTAATTGATTATAGCAGGTGATTGCAACAAACATTCATACATCCAGACAATATAACTTCTGCAACAACGGGGTGAAGCAGCAAGAGCAGCAATTCCAGTTGCTCTGGTGAAGGGTTTAATACCAGCTTGTTATGCACACCGTTCATCATCAGAACAACTTCCAAACACCAGTCAATGCCGATAAGGCAGGGTTTAGTCGCCCCAAAAGCTGGAATGTAGCAGCAGAGACAAGAACTGTTGCTTTGATCCCCAACCGGTTGCAAAGGGGAGTAGCTAAAATTGCATACAGACAGAGCTACTGACCTAACCCATCATCGTCCACCATTAACCAGTATGTGTACTGTGTACAAATGACCAACAAAAGACCACTGGAGACAAAGAGCTAACCCTAACCTCACATAATTAACCGCACGGATGTTGGTAGTCATGAAAATCACATCACATACAAGAAACCCAAACTGATTGATTCGAAATCCCTGAATTGAATGGATTTTCAGTAACAAATACCTCTGGTTTTCAGAACCTTGATGGCTGCCGCTGAAGTTGGAAACTATGCTGCCGCTGAGTCGGGTCCGGCTGATTCAGACCTTGATGGCTGCTTTTTTCCTCTACCTTCTCTTCGTTACTCTCGAGATCCCTCTGGTTTTCAGAACTGGGTCGGTGGAAGTTTATGGGTCAGCTAACGGCGACGGGTCTACCGGTGAAGCCCTGCCCAGGTCGTGGGTCTTCGAGCGTGACGAACGGCAGTTGTTTGAGCGAGCAGAAGAAGCAGAAAGCAAAATCCGCGGCGGCGGCGGCGAAGATCGAGGCGGCAGTCCTTCCGGAGAATCTTCGGATTCTCGAGTCGGTTTCCGCCGGAGCCCCGCGCGGAGAAGAAGCTGGAGGAAGGGCTTCAGGAAGTTGAGCGGAAGAAGAGGCGTAAATCTTGTTCGCAGATCTCGTGTGTTGAGAAGAGGCGTAAATCTTAGCGGATTGTGGTTTCAAACCGCACCCGCGCGGTTTGGGTCAATCCGAACCGTGAACCGCCAAGCACTTAACGATCAGACCGCAAATGAAACCGTTAGTTTAATGATGCTGTTTGGATTGACCGCATAAGCGGTTTGGGGCGATTTGGAGCGGTTTGGTCAAACCAATACCCACCCCTATCCACGGGGCGGGTACCCCCAAACCCGAACCCGTCCCAATCCACTCAACAAGCCACCGGGTCGGGTCGGGTACCCGCGGATCCGGGTTTTATTGCCATCCCTCTATAAACCCCCTCACATTGGGGAGAAATCAAATCAAGTTAGCGAGTTGCTTCGATTGGGATTGTGGTAAGTTTCTCTGCCACTAGATCGAGACACTACTCCATAGTAGCGTGCCCCCTGCTCTTTACGATATGCTTCTTCAGATCGAGCAGCCGAACCCCACCACAGGTCACGACGTGTTCATCAGCTTCAGGGGCTCCGACGTCCGGGACAGGTTCGTGGCTCATCTCCGCGCGGCCCTCCATAGAGAAGGCGTCACCTCGTTCCTGGATGACGACTCTCGCCACCTGCCACGCGGCGAGAATTTGGAGGAAGCGATCCCACGGGCTATCGAGCGGTCGAGGATCTCGGTCGTCGTTCTCTCTCGCAACTACGCCACCTCGGAATGGTGCTTGGACGAGCTCGTCACCATTATGAGGTGCTGTACTGGCAATAGTACTGTGGGCAGCCGCGCCAGCCAGGTGGCTATCCCAATCTTCTACCATCTGCCGGAGGAGCTCTCCGGCTGCTACCAGAAGGACCTGGATCGACACAAGCGTACGCATACTTATGAGAGAGTTGACGGCTGGCTTCGGGCGCTTGATTGGGTCGCTCGTATCGCCGGTTGGGTCGTTCCGGCAGCTGGCCGGTACGTGAGAATTAAGCATGTTAATTTTTCATTCAATGAATTTATCAGTGCTGCATGCTTATGTTTACGCTCCAGCTTAAACAGAGTGACAGGTGATGTTAGCGAACTCCAATGTTTGCGTATTAATCTTATAAGCACTACCTAGGTCAACGATTTGGAGAATTGTAGGCTCGATACAAAATTCTTAATACAGACCATAATGTGGTTGCCGAGAGATTGATTTTGTGGTCGAATATTTTTCAAATTTGAATGAGTAACTATTATTCTTATATACAATCAAATCGATCTTGTGAAGTTTTTTGTTGAATTTTCGATAGGTCGGAAGCGCGGCTTGTGGAGAAAATTGCAAGAGCCATAAGATGGAAGATGGATCATAAACTTGTTATGATGGAGAGAGATCCGTCAGCAGATAATGGGAGGAACCATATGAATATGCGCATCATAACAATTGGAGGAGCAACAGTGATGATAATTGTAATCATTGCGGAAAAAAATGAGTAGCAGAAAATATGTTCTTATTTATGGTTTCGTCGTCGGAGCTATATTTGACGGAGGACAACCGCACTACGTCATCGTCGCTGCCGCCACCTAAGGGCACGCGCATTTTTCGACGCGCAAAAGAGAGAATCAAAACTTTGTTTCATTTACGAGCCTAATATTGTCTTTTTTTTTTTTTTTTTGGAAAGCATACTGTAATTTTCTTAGTAAGTCCATTAGAAACTATCATAAATTCCTACCCAAAAATAATAATAAAAAACTATCATAAATGAGTCACATGGTGTGTACTGTAATAGAGTAGTAGAGTCTCAAGGTTTTAGCTCGCCAGCCTGATCGATAATCATTGTTGGACTTGGACATCAAACATTAAGAATTGAGCTGCGGCCCAAGCTTCCTAGGCCCAATACAGCTTTATCTTCCTCCTCCAAGTCTATATCCGATTTGGAAGACGGTCTCCTCCGTCGCCGCCCGCCGGTTGAGCCTTCCGTTCTGATATGATTCAATCCATCTACGTCTCTCCCTCTATCTCTCTGTTTTGTTGCCGAGAAAGGAAAGGAAAACAAAGGAAAGAATGGGGATCCGGTTCATACTGATGGTGAACAAGCAAGGCCAGACTCGTCTTGCCCAGTACTACGAATGGCTCACCCTCGAAGAACGCCGCGCCATCGAAGGCGAAATCGTCCGCAAGTGCCTCGCCCGCAACGAGCAGCAGGTTTCTCCGCCCCCTCTTCTCCTCACATTATTCCGATCGCGATTTTTCTCTCATTTCTCTGATCTTATGTCCCGCCGATTCCCGAATTCATCTAATTCGCCATATTTGTTGTTCTTTCTATCATCAAGGCTAAACCTTTTTCGACAATCCATCTAGATAAAACCAGAAAGCAAACCCAATTCTGCTCTGACCTTGATGTCGAAGAGCCAGGGTTTTTCTTATTTTCGAAGCTGAATTGAATATGATCTGACTTGAGTTTCACTGTGGGTGGCAGTGCTCGTTTGTTGAGCATCGCAATTACAAGATCGTGTACAGGAGATACGCATCCCTGTTTTTCCTGGTTGGAGTTGACAATGACGAGGTAGGAGTCCTCTCGTTCTCACCATTGTTTGCTTCCTTGCATCTTTGAGGAATAAAAGGGGAATCAGTGGATTTGAACATCACAGTATCTGATTTTTGTTGATTGATGCTGTGTCTTTCTGCTTCGAATTGGTATATAGACTCCATTGTTTGAACACATTCTGCCATTGTTTGACCTTTGTTCTTTTGCCATCTTTGAATATATATATACATGAAGGGCATTATTGTTGGCCAATAGTCCTAAAGAACTAGGGAACAGTTTCAAATTGATCAAACAGCTGCTGGCCTGCCATCCTTTCGTAGGTCACTTACTGCAGTTAGCATTCCATGGATTACCGTATTGTTGCCAGTGTCTGTCTTTCGGTTGATCGCGTTTTGCAGAGATTGAACAACAAGCTGGACTATGGCTCCACCAGCATTGGCATTCAATTGATGACCCCTTTCTCTCAGGAAATCCTTCCTTTCCTCGGCAAGCTCTATGTGATCCCCGCATAGCAATGTCCAGTTCTCGTACTTAACGACATTTGGTATCAACTGCAAACAAAGACAGCAGATGATAATCGACATTTCGGTGTAACCCTCTCTTTTCAGACATTGCAAAGTAGCGATTAGATGAAGGAAGAATGCAAACTACGAACATCGTGGTAGACCCTTGGACTCAGGACGGCGTGTAATGGCTTCATCCCTAGCACAAAATGGTTGAGGAAGACTTGTACTATTGCTGGAATAATGTACAGTCCACCGCTCCCTCCGAGAACTCCAGCCAGCTGATTACCCTGCGGTTAAACACGAAGAAACAAGATTAAGGGGACACCTCTGATCCAGGTGGATTTAAGTCCATAAAGTTGGCACCTTTATCTCAATCACACATAGATTTACCTTGGTGACGATAATAGGCGTCATGGAAGATAGTGGCCGCTTATTTGGTTCGATGAAGTTTGCAGGGGAGGGAGGGAGCTGATCATCTGATATCTCAGTCGGCGCTGAGAAATCACCCATCTCATTGTTGATCACGATCCCAGTCGAAGGAGACAGCAACCCAGCTCCAAATCCATAGTTCACAGTCGTCGTCATCGACACAGCATTTCTCTCCCCATCAACAATGCATAAATGGCTGGTTCCATGATCTCTCAGCTGACTCCACCTGCAACTCAAAAAATGTCCAACTGTCATTTGAGAATCATACATATCATGGCAGCTGCAAGCACATACTTGTTTTCCTGGACAGCTTACTTGTGCATGTAGTACTCTGGTGGGAAAGTAGTGTTGTCAAATATCAGCTTCTGTATCTTCTCACCAAATGCAGGAGAAAGCATCTCAGCTTGAACCTCACTGATATCAACAAAATCAGGATCCCCGAGGTTCATTCTCAGCGCAAACATGTGCTTCAACGATTCGATCAGCCGATGCAGACCGATCCCCCCCTTTGCAGCATCGACACTGCCACCATAGCTCTTGAAAATGTTCATCACAAGTGACATCCCAAGAGTTCCACTCGAAGGAGAAGGCATTCCGTAGACTGTGTAACCCATGGCGTCCACAGCAACTGCATCAGTGACTCTGACCTTGTAGTTCTGCAAATCCTCCATCTCTATTATCCCTCCAGCTTTCCTCGCATCCTTCACCAGATTCTCGCCCACGCTGCCGTTGTAGAACACCTCTGGCCCGTGTTCGGAAATGGCCTCCAGCGTTCGAGCTAGCTCGGCGTTGTAGCATAGATCGCCGGCTTTCAAGAGCTTGTTGTTGGGAGCAAACACTTGCTGTAATCCGGGGTCGTCGAGGATTTTGGTGCTTTCGGCTATGGACAGGGCTAAGTAAGGAGCGACCACGAAGCCATCTTTGGCGAGTTTGATTGCAGGTTGGAATAAGGACTTCCATGGCAGGCGGCCATATTGCTGCCAAGCTTCATAGAGGCCAGCTATTTCTCCAGGAACTCCCATTGATAGTGGACCTAAGTACTTGGCTTGAATGTTATTTGTATACATGTTCTGGGCTCGAGTCAACCAAATTCACAACAACAAGAGACCGTGAGAAAAAAATCAGGAAGGTTAAGTCAGAATGATGTATCTGGTGTGATTGTTTCAACTTAAAAAAAAAAAATACGATGTAAAAGTTGAGAAGAACACAATTATTCGATCGAATTTATTAAGATATTATTCTTTTAGATTCATTATAAATAAATGTTAAGCCCTACCTCAATACATTAAAATCCTTTTCCAACATTATCACATAAATTTGTTCTTAAAAGGTACTCACCAAAAGGTGTACTCATGAGTCATGAGATGACTAATGAGAGTCATTTTTCAAAACTCTCCATCTCATCATTAACAACTTTTGTATTATCAATTATCCTCTATCTCATCAACTCTTCTTTTTTTCAACCTAATCAAACACATATTCCTTCCATTATACTAACAGGTTGTTAAACTATTTGGCCAATGATTTCATTTTATAAAGAGCCAATTCGAATTACTTGTCTGCTTTCTCGTAATTGGAATTGACTCGAAATAAATCAATTCAAAATTTTTTGGCCAAATTAATTCATCCAAAATTTCTGTTAACAATTGTTTAACATATCAATTTCAAGACAATTGGATCACCTTCATATATTATAATTACTCATCAAAACCCTAAAACTTAAAAGTAGGTGGTTGTTCAAAATTCAAATGCATGTATCATGGAATATATTAATTTCAGAAAATGATATAGCATGCAACTTAGAATATAAGGCTTTTCTTTTTAAGAATATAAGTTTTTTTATTTATAAAAAAATTAGAATATAAGGTTTGATTTTCAAGAATTGTGATAAATCCTTAAAGTCTAATAATGATATTTATGTAATGTAATGTAATGGGGGGAAAAAGAATTTCAAAAATTAGTGGGCAAATTACAATTACCCAAAGTAGCCAATCTAAAAGCAAAAGAAACACAAAAACAGAAGGGGAAGGTGAAACCTTTGTAGCAGCAAAAGGGGCAGTTTCCCTCATGTCGAAAGCTCGAACTTCGGTAGTAGAAGAAGACCTGACCACCATGAATCCACCACCACCAATCCCACTCGCCATTGCATTAACCACTCCGAGGCACAGCACCGTGGCGACCGCCGCATCGACGGCGTGGCCGCCTTGCCTGAGAACCGAAGCCCCAATCTGAGAGCACCTGCCGTCATCTGCTGCCACAACTCCATTCTCCGACTCGATTTCTGCATTCTCCTCTGCCTCAATTGCTCTCCCGCCGTTCGGAAACAGGGGATTCCCATCGCCCGCAAGGAACAGTCCCAGCAGAGCTGCAATCACCAAGTAATGACTAATGAGGGCAATGAACACAGCCAATCAAGATTCAAGAGGCGAGGAAGAAGTTCAATTTAGCTGAAATTTGGAACGGAACCCAGGAAAAGAAAAAGAAAAAAACCCCATGATTCCCAAACCCCATAGAATTCTGACCTGCGATGGCAAACAAGGCAGGAATCAGGAACAGAGCAATTTTGCCCCAATCCCGTTTCTGGGTGGGTGAAGCGCCCTCATCGGCGCCCAGAAGCGGAGTCTGGGAGCTCTGCCGGCGGCCCATGAGGGATTTTAATTTCGTCGGATTTTGGCGCCTCCTCCGATCGGAAAAATGAAGGAGGAAGCGTGGAGAGGGAAAGGGGAAGTGGGTTAATTACTTGTGGGAGATGACAACTAGCTTACCCCAGAGTGTTGGGGATGGCCGAGTTGCAACAATCGAAGACTGACTGACTCTTCAGACTAAATCGAATTACAGGGGGGGGGGGGGGGGGGGGGGGGGGGAACTTGAAAACAGAGGAAAGGGTTTTGGATTTTCTCTGTTTTCTGGAGATGATTCCAAGTGTGGGTTTGATCAACAGAGTAGAAGGAAAGGCCAGCTTTTCCTGTTTTTTGAGGTCTGACTGACTGACCTGGATCAGAATCGGAGGGGGGAATCTCTGCCTTTTCTTGTTTATAGGGAGTGTTTCAATTCAGGGCGTTTCTGCTTTGGTGGCGACTGAAAGCGACGAGATGCCATGATATGATAAGAGTGTCAATGGCTCACTGGCTGGCTGATATTAATCAGAGAGAATCTTCAACCATATTTATTCTGTTATATTCGGCCGGAAGCATGTTAAACAGGGGAGCCTGATTTGGAGTGGTTAGGCCGGTACAGTTGTTTCGAGGTTGAGAAAGGACCAATAAGGTTACTCACTTACTGTGCTAATGCCCAAAATTCATTCAACGTGTTAATATGATTGAATGTTCCACGGGAACATCAATATTTATAGGTTTGGGTTAATACCTTATTTTGGTACGAACTATGACCATATAATTAATTTTGGCCCGTGGTTTCAAAAAATAACATCTTGGCCTCAACTATGCAGCATATTAACTCAATTGGCATGACACAAGGTTTGACCGTCAATTTGGATGGTCAACACCGTTGACTGATAGTCAACACACCATGTCATTGCCTCGTCAGCCTAAAATTATTAAAAAATCAACTTTAAATTGTCACTACAAACGGTAAGAGGCGAGAAGTTCGTCATGAGAACATTATTTTAATAGAGAATCCCTAACTGTTTGAGCATTAAGAGTGTATCATTATAGAGAATCTAGTTGATTCATTGATAAAAGAATTAACTTAGGATTATAAGAAATTTAGCTGAAGCATTAACTTTGAAGTGTTGTGACTTGTGAGAACAATAGAAAAGCGAAAAAGATAGATGAATTAAAAAACAGATGGAAGAGAGATTGTGGGCCTAAGCTGAAACGTTATATCATATAGGACTTCACTTGTTTTGATGCCCCATCGTAAAAATCAGGAAACCCGTCTTTGTCTGGGCCTCGGCTTACTATTATTTCAACAACTGGATCTGGGCTCAACCGCCAACTGGACCGTGGTGCTAACATGACAACCGCCAAGTTAGCATACTTCTTCTTAATTTGGTAAGCAAGCCCGCTCAATTAAAATAGGACAACTTCTTTCGAAGATCATTTCTTTATATTTTTTTTTCTTTTTTAATATTATAATAATAAAATAACATAATGAAAGAGAGGGAGTGATGAGCAAACTTTCTCTTCCAACATTCATTCATACCACAAAAGCTTTACTAATTATATTTAAGCCCCTCGCCCTCTTAAGAAAAGAAAAATAACAACAAGAGATATTGGGAAAAAAGAGAAGAAAACAAAAGAGGGAGAAAAGCTTTCATGGGCACCACTACTAAAAGCTTTCATGGGCACCACTACTCTCTTCCAAAGACATGAACCTCCTTCCTCTTCCTCGTTGCCAAATCACCATCTCAGTTTCTCTGGGAAATACTGCCCAACCCAAAAAAATATCATCATTAGAATCCAAAATTAAAGAAACAAAGAGTGATTGGGGGGGAGCCCAATAGGAAATGCAGGCCCAAAGGCCCAATGGAGAATTTCCTGTACTTACTTTGGCAATGAGGGATTGGTAGTATGGCTTGACTGCTGCAACATCAACATGAACCTTGCTCTTGCTGTACAAATCATATTTGCTGCAACAACAAAACCATACACAAAATTCATCATTACATGTAACCAAAACCAATAAAGAGGTAGAAAAAATCAAGTTTTGAGTGTATTTACTTGAAGATGTGGAGCCACTTGATATCCTCCTCGTCCTGCTTGTTCATCAGGTGCTTGTACGCCCCGTGCTTGTGCAAAGCTGCAAAATCACAATAACAACAACATCAAACCCACGAACGACAACATCGAACACGATATGTTCACAAGCAACACAAACTCCTCGATCGATTCGATCCCCCCAATACTTACGGTAGAACGAGTGGTATCTCACGATGAACAATGCAGCTGAAGGCAAGGTGGTCTTGTTCTCCTTGGCCACCAGGTACATATAATCATCGTGGCCCCACGACATGTAGACACTGTCAAGGCCACATCCTTCCTTGTAAACTCCATTCTTGGTGCTGTAGATTGGGTTCTTGCTGTCGGGATTCTCAGCAAAGTACTTGTGGTGAACATTGGACTCGTCAAAAGCACAACCCAGAGGGAAAGTGTCACCCACCACGGCCCATTGGGGCAGCCCACCAAACTGTGGCAGAAGCAGAATCTTCCCAAGATCTGCAAAACAATCAAACAAAACCATAAACCAAGTGTTCTACAGTGGAAAAAAAACCCGACCATGGTGCTAACAGTTAAGGGTGTTCATTCCTCGTCAAGGGCTACCCTACCGTGGATAAGGGCGGTCAGGTGGAGCCAATCCTCGTTAGGGTAGTCCTTGCGGATTGCCTCGGCGGACTGCAGCAGATGCTGGATTTGGGGCTCGTCCAAATCCGGGTCGCTGTCGTCCACCACGCTGTTGAGCAGCTCGCAGCAGTCCCATATGCTCATTTCTGCCCTGTTCAGCTTCCCATACTCTGCCCTCATCTTCTTCACCTGCACCATTCCAATTTTTTTTTTTTTTTTTTGTCACCCATTCAGTAAATTCTCAATGTCCTTCCAATTAAAAACGAAATCCCCACTAGACGGACTAATTAACTCACGAAATCAAGGGTCTGGGTAGTGTGTTGCTCCCTGTACAGATTCTCCACCGTCTTCTGCCTCTCGTTCTCTGCATTGTAGTTCCTGCAATTCCAAAAACCCAGGATCTTTTTTGCTTAATTACGATCGATAAGCTCGACAAACTCATGAGAACAGACGATTTTACAACTAACCTGAACGAATTGCCGAAGGCGTTGATATCCGGGGCGGCGAACCCATGGCTGGAGACGACTTTGTCCGGCACCACAAACCCACCATCCAACACCAATTCCTCCTTCTCTTCTCCGACGACTTTGTTCTTCTGCTCCACAACCACTGCTGCAACAACCATAATGAAAATTTCCCCCAACACCACACCGCCCAAAATATCTCAATAAAGCTCTTTTTTTAAAAAAAAAGAATAAACCGAATATTCGGATAGTAATCAGAAATTCTTCCCTAAACAAACATGGACAAACAGAGTTCTAGTCCAACGATATCGAGAAGGAGGCGTACCGGGAGCAGCGTTGTTGACGGCATCGGATTGCTCAATGCGGATCGTCATCTTGTCCTTCGATAAGAATTTTTATATATATAATTCTTATATGTATATATATAGCTAAGCTAATATAGGGGAAAGTAGCAGGGGAAGAAGGACCAAGAAGGTTTTTTTTTTTTTTAATTTGTTATTATTTGGAGGCAGAGGGAGCCTCGGAGAAGAGAACAGAGAAAAAGGAAAGGGTTACAAGGAGGAGGAGTTTCTTACGGTTTCGCTCATTCGCAGTGCCGATTGAAGGGAGGATTGGAAGGGGGATTTTATAGTGCGGCTGCCTAAAGGGGTTTTGTCGTCCTTCCTTGGTAATTGGAGAGATTCTCAGGTCCTTGGGCCACAAAAATTAAAAAATAGGAAATTCAATTCCCACACAATAATTCTCAGCGGTAAATTGAGATATATCCGATAATAATTAGATACCACTACTTGTTATTTGCTATTTCCAGCAGGCAGCAAAGAAAAGTTCAAACCTTTTTTGGTTGATAATAATAATAATGCTACGCGATCTGTTAATGGACTCATCCCACGTCATCATCGTAAAAGCATCTTATGTGTCTCCGTGTTAGATTGTTTAGCAGTGTTCAATGGGCGAAACACAATTTCAACATGAAATACCATATTAGTGAATTTTTCGGTGCGACCTCGGGTATTATGCTCTACAATTCTTGGTGTATAGTTATGTTGAACGAATGATAAGAGCGCGTGTCGTCCTGCGACTTAATTGCGAACGCGAGCCTCCTTTGGTTTAATGTTATGTCTTGTGTGTACGTGCAGTGGCGACCTTAGCACTCAGAGTGAGGTGGGGTTAAAAATAAAAGCAGCAATATTTTTTTTAGATTAAATCTTTTACTCTTTGAAACCTGACTCAAAATATCAAATTGCAAATCCTAGTCCTAAATCCTTCGTATCAAAGTAAATTTTGAATATTATTTGTGCAAATTCATATGTTTTCTTGTCCGTCATATCCCGAGTGATGATGATATCGTTTCGACATAAATCGTATGCTAAAAAGGCGATTACGAAGCGGGTGCATAGCATGCACTCGAAAAAAATGAGTGCATCGAAAACAAAACTATATATACATCAGAAATAACACCCTGGATGATATTTGAGATTAATTAAGGATTGAGCCGTACCGTACTGGCGGTTCGACCAGAAAAATCTCATATCAAAGACTAATTAAGTTGGCCGTCGGTATTTAAGAATATGAACCAGTTGGATCACAATTAAACCTCGATTTTTAATATAAAATATTCTAATACGGACTTTTCCGGCACGATTTTACAATCTTAGTGTTTCTGAATCCGCAAGTCAAATAGATATTTAGCTATCTATTTTTCCCCTCAGCTTTCTTGTATTTCCCTGGAAGGAGTCGAATGGTGTACTATTCAGGGACTAAAAATGGCAGATTGGCAATGCAGAAGTTTAAGAAAATTACACGGGAGGACAAATTGCGCGGAAAATGCGCACAACCCCCTTTGAACCTCCATCCTAAAATCGCTAAGCTAATTATTAGTGGTTATCTAGCTGTCTATAAATATATATATATATTGTTTATACACGAGCAGATCATATGATAAGAAACATTTTAGCTGATGAGTCAGCGCTACGTGGACACATTGTCACAGTTAGCTGGCCTCGAGCTTTCTTTTGGACATTACCCATCCGACGTCGCATCTAGTCAGAAAATACACATACCTTGAAAAACACGCATCACGTTGACCAATTTCCGTACTTGCCTTACGAACGAGGATCATCATTACAATCAACCTTAGCAACCACACAATATCCTTGACTTGAAGAAGTTCCAAGTTCGACGAACCCTAGGTAAAGTCGGAGTATAAAAGGATCGTCGATAAGGGCATTCTAGTGCGTTATAAATTCTTACTACGAGGGACGTAGTATTATTTTGTTATTCGTATCTCTTAGCTCACAAGTCACGAGTCGTTTTCTTACCAAAAGGAAGAAAAAAAAAGGGCAAAGTCCTGTGTAAATTATCTTCTCCTCCTGCTCCGCTACTATGGAGAAGAAAACAATGGTGGACCAAACCTTTCTTTAAAGCCCAACAGTAAAGAGAATCCAACTCGTAAGCTCTACCACAATCAGTTAATGCCAACAAAAAGCAGCAACTTGCGCTCTGAGAAATGAAGTAAGCAGCTAGCTCGATCTGCTTATGAAAAAGAGAGTGACCGCAAAACAGACACACCTACCGCTTTACCCCAAATGAATAAATTCAGTAGCACAGAGAGTCCGTACAGTACAGTACTGTTTGGGCCGACAGATTATGTAACTATTATCATTTTGGTCCTGATATTTCCAAATCTGGTGAAGATAAGATGTTAAGGCGATGTGTGGGTCTCGACTCGCGTTTCATCCGACTGATCTCTTCGGATTGTGTGGGGGGGGGGGGGGGGGGATTTGTAGAAAGGCGAGGGAGCTTCTCGATCTGCACTTCAACGAACAAGTCAGTTGTTGGTGAAAACATCTCTCTTTCGGAGGACTCGAGAAGTAGCAGCCATAAATATTGTTTTTTTTTTTTACAAGTAGAGTTGTTGAATTTGAATTTTTTTTAGCAAATAGTGATTTAGAGGATATGAAACTCATAACCTATTGTTCATACTCATCTTGTTCCTGCCAGTAATGTATTAAGTGCTAAGCTGAAATTGAAAGGGGAAGAATTATTAATAGTGATTATAGAATCGCATTCATGCATTGGTGATAAGTGCCTTTCAAAAGTTCATAAAAATGTGGAAGGAAACCGTACCACTCACTAACAAAGGAAGGACGAGGGGAGGGTAGGTAAGGATTGACCGCAAGCAATGAATAAATGGGGCTTGTTATTTTTTGGTTTTATGCTTTCACTTTCTAAGGAAAAATACACAAAGGGACAAATATAGTGACATGGTGTTCGACGAGGTAATTTCGTGTCATTGGTTAACGGAGTGATGATTGTTTTCGCTAAAATGTTCTTATAAATTATGCAGGATTAAACAAACACAGTACATACAAGGAATTAATTGGAAATCGTTGAGAATTATATTTCGTCATGATCTTGAACTCTAGAATCACCTAAATTTTCACCACTCAGGGGGGAAATGGCATAATTGCGCATATTTAGGGAATAAGATGAAGAATTACAAGGAAGGCGACTATTTTGGTAGAAATTGTCTTGAGTTGGCTCTTCGTACCAAGCCAATCAAGTCTTCAAGATCTAGAATCAATTTGTCATGCTCCTCCGGTCTCAGGACCCTAGTTTGGCACTAACCATCACACTTATACTCGATAGACATCGAATTGGTGGATTTTGGTTGCAAAGTTAATGAATTTTGGAAACCATCCAATATGGGGTTTAAAACCCGCAAATTTGGGCGAATTCGAATGTTCGTAAACTCCTTCATCCAACTTCCAATTCCATCTAATTTGAACCCACATGCTTTATTTTTGTCCTCTTCGATGTAATGTTCAAAATAAACGTAAACAACTCCAAGCGAATCAAAATGGCCCGAGAGGGGTGCAAACAAGCTTTATTCTTTCCCTTTTCGACCTCATTGGGAATGGAATTCAGGAACACAACGTTAGAGTTCACGGATGTGAGTATCATTTACATCACCTTTGAGTTCTTAAGATAGATTATACGCATATGCTTTCGTAACATGTTTTGTTAAAACATGCAAAATCGACATATAAATTAGTTTTGCTCTGACGAAATTATATTACTTACTAAAAAGATGTAACGGTTAAAACTTATTTCTTAGTTGCTCTCAAGCCTTGCTCTCAAGTCTTTCTTAGTTGCTAATAAGTAATATTTTATGTATTGTTGGATATTTAGTGGTGGTACTTATTAATCTTTCGATTTGGGAAATCTTTTTTTCCACAAAGAAAATAGCCTAAAATCACGTGACCCTAAGTTCCACAAATATATAAATGGTTTATTTCGTTTACATAGAAATGCCCAACTTGTTCCCTAGACCAGATTCCTTTGTTTGTTTGTTCTTTTTTCTGTATGTGGTGCAAAATAAACAATAATAAAAGGACGACAATAATGCATATGATATTATGATATCTTATTGACAATAATTGTGATAAAAAAAAAGCACATTTCCGTGAATGAAACTATCAACCATTCATACAAAAGAACATTTGTCGAAGAAAGAAAGAAAAAGAGGCTATCAACCCAAGTGATAGGCTATTTAGCACCTTCTTCTACGCCTTATATATAAGCCAAGTTGCTCAATTATTGTTTCCTTTTTCACTTTTAATATCTTCTTTTTCTTTATATTTCTTATCTTTCTTTTCCATCTTTTATATCTTGATAGTGTTTACTATTTATTTTTAGAAATTTTTAGGGTTATGGAGAATTCCTCCCATGATAGGATGAGCTCACTCATTTTGACGTAGCGGTATTTCAAATCCCATAAATCAACAAACAGACGAACAGATAAACTTACATCGACTTGGTTTGTAATGGAGCGAAAGGAGAAGGCACATGCATGAAAACATTTTTTTTTTTTGCTGTGTTTCGATACTAATAGAAAAAGCTAGTGAAAACAGAGCGGGTTGGTGGTACTTATACAAGATGAAGGGGTACCGCTTCTCAAGAGAAGCAACTGCTACTGCTAGGGTAGTTGGTGCGGAGCGAGTGAGCGAAAATGTATATTCGGTAATGGGTTGTGTATAATATGACGATTTCGACCTGACATGACCTACACGACCTGCTTGACATGTTACGCGTCTTATAACCAAAGCGTGACGAGAATAGGTATTTTCCTCGATCCGACCCACTCCACACTCCATTTTCGACTGAGTTTACCTCAATTATATATACTTTTACTCAAACTTGTAATTTTGTTTTTATTGCATCATTATCATATATATCAAACTATTTCACATCTTTTCATATCTTGACGAGACAGTGAGTTAAATGGCGTACGTGGTCCAGAATCCAGCAAAATGGAAAGGGAACTCCGAGGGAGAAAGCGAGGTGAAGCCACTCTGCAGCCGCACATTGTCAGTGAGTTCCTCCGGCCGGTCGAGTGACTGGACGGCAAACTGCACCATTTTTTTTCCGGCGGTTGTCGTGGTAATAACCTAACCATGCATTACTCAATGAGTAAAAGGGCGCAGTACTACGGTGCAAGAAGACGAACCCTAAGTTCAGTTGAGCCCACTCGACTGGCTAGCTAGCTCGCACGTGACCAAGCAAAGGGACACAGCAGGGCAGCTGTATGATTCTAACCCTTTCTATATTCAATTGTTTTGGTACACGTGATTTCCTTCCATCTTTCCCCACCTAACCCATTCTTAACATATATGAGATGTACCGAGTTCACAATCCTTCTAGATGCATGATGGAAGGAAAAATGTGAAGAAGA